CGCAAGTACATTTTGATGGGAATTTAATTTTTGATTTCCAACTTTTGGATATAAAAGGCACTGATATAAAAGGATAAAAATGACTGAGTGGTAAAGCCTTTCGTTTAACTGCACAGAAAATGTTGAAAGACAAATTTCCTTTGATGTTTTATATAGGTCACGGAGACTGATGCAACAGCATAAAAAATAAAAAGTTTAAAGAATCAGGTGCATCAAGATGGCCTGGACACAAATTCTTTCACTGCTAAGTTGAGAGGAAAATATAGGTTACTGTAACCTAGTTATGTTGTGTGATGAACCTTCATGCCAAAAATAACAGCCTAAGTAAAAGACCTTGTCGGGCAGGATGCCAGGTTGCGTTATCACTCACTTTAAAGATACCCATGCAGCTTTTGGTATTATCAGAATCAAACTTGGTTAATATAATGGAGTTTTGACTGTACAAGATTAATGGAAAATAAGAATAAAACATTTCAGGTCTGGTTTAATCACATTTCATGGCGACATAGTTGAGAAGTATAAAATTAAACCTAAAATTTCAAATCTACTTAATGTACAAGTCACATAGCTTGAGTGAATGTAACCAGAATAGCCATGTGACCCCGATAACACACCTAACTAACAGAGGTCAAGTCAAGATCGCAATACTCCCAGAGATTTTGTTCTTTCCAAGATGACAAGAGACCTTGAGGTGTCATTAGGTCATATGAGTGTCTTTTACCATGGATCAAGGTTACAGAGATGTTTAATAACCCCTTCCCTATAAAAAATAAGTGCCCATATCAAATTAATCCCCTTCGTCTTCATACTAATGGAGTTCACGACCTTTCCGCGCTGACAGACCTTGAAGTGTGGTCATACAGGTGCTTTCACTTGACATGCTGGATCAAGGTCATACAAATGTCTGACATCCGCCTCCCTCCCGATAAAAAACCTTAGTACCCATATCACATCCTGATTGATACATCACCAATAACCACCCCCATTACAAAACATCGAAGAAAACCAGCAACATCAGCTGTCATTTGAAGCAAGGGAGATAACTGAGAAACAAAAACACAAATCTAGCTGTATCATCATTTGTTTTCAATGGAAGCTGAATTTGAATGACATTTCAATCAATAGAGCTAGATAATTAATGTTTCCTTGAAAACATTTATTGTGTAAGTAATGTAAATCACCTGATTAACTGTAAGAAAGAATTAAACAAGGGGATGGTTTGATTCCTACAGACGTTCATTATTGAACACATCACAAAACATCAATTACGTGATTAAACATTTCTGTGAAGAAAACAATCATTTAAACGCCAGTGCATGCACAGTTCAATATCTGTCTACCGCACAGGGAATATATCATGATTACTGTAGAGAAATAACCCAAGAAAACACATAAGTCTTTGAATGCATGTAAAGAATGGCCAATAAGATATTTCGTTGGGACATGAAATAACTAAAGTGAAACCACAAAACATGTTTTTGTATATCACATTATTTCTTATTATGTGAGTGTCTATCGTTAAAATGTTCAAAGTATCATTGATCATAAAAAGTCAGGCATTACAGTACTTCTCCAAATGCACAGATGCTACCTGACCGAGATAATATACATTCCTCACAGAATGCCTCATTTGTCATGGTTATCTCAACATAATCAAACTTTAACTATGATCTGACCTCAACCAAACTTGGCAAGTTTGGCAAGTGACCTTGACCTTATAGGTCAATGACCTTGATGAGATATTTAATGTGCTGAAATCTTTCACCTACACAAGCTCATCAACTGACTTCATTAGGGCTCACGTAGCGACTAATCAGAAACTAACAAGCAAAAGAGAGATATCCAGGTTTTTTTCAATCTGACCAACATAGGCGATCAATGTGACCGACATTGGTACTAGCTGTCACTGACACTGGATAACACGGTGATATTATTCTCCTATAGACTGCCTCAGGCAGACTATGAGGAAAATAAACCAAATTTTTCAGGCACACAAAACAGGGCCGTTACCATTTGTTGGAAATTACACCCCAGTGTGGTTCTTGTAATGTAAATTCCTATGTTAGACTCGGTAATGCCAGTGTTGGATAGGTAATTTCTGGCTGGCTTCAGTCTCCTGGTTTTATCAAGCATACAATTGAAGCATGGGCATAGAACGTCATAGTAACGGTCAGCAGTCAGACACACACGGGGCGAATTTTGAGGGCTGAGAATGTGTGTAGCCTGGTGATAAGGCAAGGACTATAGATTATATAGACTCCCCCCAAACCTACAGAATGATTTACAATCACCATGTAATGGTTACAACATATTGTCAGACAGCTTCATGCTGGAAATAACCTTTTGTCAAAGGCAAGAATAGCAGAAATGATTTCTGGTTTTGACCAAATGAATCTGGTTATTTTATCTGCTTGAGGCCACCCTACTACTAATCAATAAACACTGGACTTTTCACATTGCTATGGATTTAACCTTAGAGCATTTGCATGGAAGCTCCTGAGTTCTCCAGGCAAAAGTCTAGCTAACTCTTTGCTGATTACAGTAACACTCTTTTTCAAACAGAAATTGTGTGGAGTTGAACCATCCGGAAGTTGAATGGTTGCAACCTGTTGCGGTAGAGTTTCCCAATGTTTTTTTGTAGTTAAAGTCTACTGAAGCACGAGGCTATGAATAAAGACAACAAAACTGTTGTACGGTTGGAAAAAAAAACCAATTCCCATAGCCGCAATTGAAGCACCGAAAAAAGGACGGAAAGGAGACAAATTTTACAGCTTTGGCTACGCGACTTAATCTGTGTTTTGTCGACTTGGCTAGTCAGTGAAGGTCAATAAAGCACCCGTAAAATGACCACTAAAGGCCAAGGTCACGACATCAATGGTCTGTCTTGTGTTTGTGAACTACAGGGAGAAAAGCCAATACAAGTGTAACACATTTGGTGTATTACAGCCTACAGTACAACAAAGGTTAACTGAATTTGAAGTTTTTTAGGAGATTCAGGGACAGAGAAATAGCCTGGTGCTGTGGTATTTAACGTCTAATGAGCTATCTTAAGACGTTTGTTATTTTTTGCAAGAATGGTCAGCTTCTCTGAACCAACTGACAATACTGACATAGTCGCAGACAGTTACTGTTCATCCCCTCATAAACAAGCAAGTGTCTCCAAAAGATGAATGTACTCAAGCCCCTGAACTCAGTTGACGGATGACAAATGAACCTGTTAACAATTTAGCAATGGATGACTTATAAATACAAACAGTGACCTTGGTATTGACCTTGGAACTCGGAAAAATTAAACTCTTCCAAGTTATTCTCATATTTTACCTTCGTATAAAATTAAAGAAAAATCATGAAAATGAATGGTGAGAGGGCAGACCATGATATGGCCAGGCATACATAGCCTTTTAAATGTTCATATTATATACTTGCAGTCTTAATAGGGAACACTTACCATAAACATCCTTTTCTACAGAAAACCTGTTATAAGTCTCTAAAACATCTTGTCTTAAGTTTTTATCACAAGAGACATTATTCTGTATCATGGGGGACAACTTGCCCTCTTTTTTTTTTTTATCGAACTTTAACCTCTTCAACTGGGGTCATATAAAGACATATAGGTCAACTTGTCATAAGTCTCTAGCAAGGGAGAATACTTGTTGTAAGTCCCTATCAAGAGAGATAACTTTTCAAAAGTCTCTATATAGGGATACAACATTTTCAAGTCTCTATAATGGGAGATAACTTGTCATAGGTCTCTATCAAGGGAGACAACTTGTAATAAGTTTATCAAGGGAGACAACTTAATTATGAAAAGTCTCTGTCTAGGGAAACAACTTTTTAGAGAGACACCTTGAAATAAGGTTATATCAAAGGAGACAACTTATAGTAAGTCTCTATCAAGAGAGACATGTTGTAATAAGTCTCCATCAAAGAAGACAACTTGTCATAATCAAGACACTATCAAGGGCGTCAACTTGTTACAAATCTCTGTCAAGGGAGACAATTTGTAATAAGTCACTATCAAGGGTGTCAACTTGTTATAAGTCACTATCAAGGGAGACAACTTGTTATAAGTCACTATCAAGGGCGTCAACTTGTTATAAGTCACTATCAAGGGCGTCAACTTGTTACAAGTCTCTGTCAAGAGAGACAATTTGTAATAAGTCTGTATCAAGGGTGACAGCCTGATTTAAGTCTCTATCAAGAGAGATAGCCTGTTTAAAGGCTCCATCAAGGGAGACAATTTGTAATAAGTCTTTATCAAGGGTGGCAGCCTGTTTTAAGTCTCTATCAAGAGAGATAGCCTGTTTAAACTCTCCATCAAGGGAGACAATTTGTAATAAGGCTTTATCAAGGGTGACAGCCTGTTTTAAGTCTCTATCAAGAGAGATAGCCTGTTTAAAGTCTCCATCAAGGGAGACAATTTGTAATAAGTCTTTATCAAGGGTGACAGCCTGTTTTAAGTCTCTATCAAGAGAGACAGCCTGTTTAAAGTCTCCATCAAGGGAGACAGCTTGTAATAAGTCACTATCAAGGGTGTCAACTTGTTACAAGTCTCTGTCAAGGGAGACAATTTGTAATAAGTCTTTATCAAGGGTGACAGCCTGTTTAAAGTCCCCATCAAGGGAGACAACTTGTCATAAGTCTATCAAGGGTGTCAACTTGTTACAAGTCTCTGTCAAGGGAGACAATTTGTAATAAGTCTTTATCAAGGGTGACAGCCTGTTTAAAGTCTCCATCAAGGGAGACAACTTGTAATAAGTCTATCAAGGGAGACAACTTGTAATAAGTCTCTATCAAGGGCGACAATTTATCACATTAAGTCTCTATGAAGATCAATCACACATTATAAATCTCTATTATAAGAGACCATCTATTCCAGACGGAAATAGTTCTTCGGAAAAAGTCCAAATACATATTCCTTTTGGCTGTAATAATCTGAAAATCAAACCATACAACAACACAACGTCAAACAGACTGGATTTTCATATTGATATACTTACTTAAAGGTGTATCTTCCCCACGGACGATTACTCGAGACTGCGAAAAGTTTAACAATCTTGGTGGATTATTGGCCGTTCCTGGTAACGAAAAAAATCAAACAATTTGTATTCAATGTTTCATAACATTATTTTAAGCAAAAAATATTCATTAAGTATGACAAATGTGGATGCGAAATAGTAAATATTGAAAAGATAAAAAAAATAACCAGATATATGAAATTGTAAATGTAAAAAAGTGAAAACGAAAAGCTTATATATAGTTCAACACTGTAGAAAATTATTTAGCAGATTTTTTCAATTCAATTCTTACAAACAACAAATCTATTTGAGCTGTCCCAAAGCTTTCTGTTGCACTGACTTTTATCATAATTCCAAACTTATTAGATACAGTGTGTCCAGCTTTATCTACCAGGGTAAAAATGTATATCCACACATATATCGTCTAGGAATGAGGTGAATATGAAAGCAAGATAATACAGATTTTAAGTGAAAATTATACAAATCAGAAATTTGCATAGAGGTAGCAATGGGGAAATGAGGATTGGGAATAAAAGAGAAAGTTATTATCAACAAGCAAAGACAGAAATCATTTCCTTGGAATTTAAACAAAATTCTAATGGTGAGTATAAACTGTAGACAAATAAAGATTTGTCGGAGAAAACAGCAGGCTTTTGGAGTCTATAATAGTCAATCCAGCTCAGAGACAGAGCAGTATGTTTACAGCTGAAATAAAGGAATAAGAAATTATAACAAGACTCGAGGGAAAAAGCAAAACAAGACTTTTTTTGGTGATTGCGTATCTAATGACTGTATGAGGCAATGTAGTTTCTTCATGCTCTAAGCCTACTGGTGCTTTGTGACAAATGAGAGATGGGATGCGGGCATCAATCTCAACACTGTCCAGTCCCACGGGGCCACTGGAGTCATCAGTATACATAGCTTAGATTCACCGAATGAAATACATTTTTTTTTTATTTCAATCATTTGAAATTCAATGGGTTTTTTAAAAATGTTAAGAAAGATAATCATGTTTTTATGAGTACGTTATGAACCCCAAAAGATATAAAGATACTGCAGTTACACAATACAGTAAAACCTTGATATCTTTGCCTCAGTTTATTTGACACCTTACTTACTGCCAATTTATTTCAAGGTAATTTCCCTTTTTCTTAAAATATTGTTGATACCAGTCTCCTAAAATATTGCCAAACCCCTTCATAATGCCAAAATTTTGCTGGTATACTGGTGGCAGTGTTACAAGATTTTTACTGTATTTCATATCTTTCTTAAATTTACAGAAATTGCTGGTTTGTAAAAAACGCATAGTGGTGATAAGCATATTCCATGGTTTGAAGGTGTAAATAAGCAGGGGATTATGATGGAACCCCCCAAATTCTAATCTGAGCAATCCTTCGTCCCCACCTCCTGACAAACTTTGGCGTAAAAATTGAACAAAGTGTCAAATACCTGTATACAGGGAGTCAAATGCAAAACGCATTTCTAAATATGATACTTTGAGATTCACACTGACGAAATTTGGCAAATGTAGGTGACAGAGTACACAAGATTTGCCCCCGACAAAGGACCATAACTCTGTATATAGCTGGGCACAGCTTAATGACTTGAACAACATTCAAACCTATTGTTAGCCCCCTCTCTGGTGGTACCAGTAGGGGACTGACTGAGGTTCAACTGCTAAAAATGAACGAAACACACCATACATTTCTGTTCAAAGAGTTTTTGAAAAGTTTATATCACTTATCTTTAATCCAAACCGAATCATCCTAAGCAAGATTCTGGACCTGGTGTTTCAAATATTCGGTTTAAAACAAAACAGTCAAAATATTTACTTAATTCAAATCACACAACAAATTGTATTGAATTTTCCTTTTTACCATTCTGTTGATCAGACCCCAACAAAGATAGTCAAAAATCTTTTTTTCAAATATGTTAATATTTTCCAAAACGATGGACTATAGCTTAGTTAATGAAAGTCAGTTTACAACGAACCCTTAACTCGTTATGTATAATTTGGCAGGCGTGGCAAACCACTGGCCTACACCTGTCACTTTGATTCATGTTTACTGTTCCTACCAAGTCCATTCTAGGTCTATGCGATTTATAAGTATTCACTTTGTATTGATCTGACTGTTCTTATTCAGCAATGACTTCCTCCAGCAGTGTATATACACAGAGTTTACAGTAATAGCAGGCTCAGTGATAGCACTCACTCTGGGTTTAAATTAATTTGATGAATTTCTACATGGCTTGATATTTATTGTATCAAAAGCATATCTATACTTTACCCTGGTACATAAACATCTGTATTACCAAATATTGACATTCTTTTACACTTGTGCATGTTACATTTTTATCAGTAGCTGAAGTTGTCTTGCCTTTGTGGAGTTATGTACTGGGGTGGAAGGAACAGATCCATTTCTACTGTAGAGCATGTCCCCTGGGTTTGGACATTCCTTTACTGTAAATGAAGACGATTATCACCCTAGGGCTGCTTATATAAATGCATGTAGTTGTTTTACCTCACAGTTCATAATGTACACTTAGGGTGGTTGCATCTGTTATACTGTAGAGCTATGTCCCCTGGGACCTATTTATAGGCATTTTACTGTAGAGTTATGTCCTCTGGGACCTATTTATAGGCATTTTACTGTAGAGTTATGTCCCCTGGGACCTATTTATAGGCATTTTACTGTAGAGTTATGTCCTCTGGGACCTATTTATAGGCATTTTACTGTAGAGTTATGTCCCCTGGGACCTATTTATAGGCATTTTACTGTAGAGTTATGTCCTCTGGGACCTATTTATAGGCATTTTACTGTAGAGTTATGTCCCCTGGGACCTATTTATAGGCATTTTACTGTAGAGTTATGTCCTCTGGGACCTATTTATAGGCATTTTACTGTAGAGTTATGTCCCCTGGGACCTATTTATAGGCATTTTACTGTAGAGTTATGTCCTCTGGGACCTATTTATAGGCATTTTACTGTAGAGTTATGTCCCCTTGGACCTATTTTTAGGCATTTTACTGTAGAGTTATGTCCCCTGGGACCTATTTATAGGCATTTAACTGCAGAGTTATGTCCCCTGGTACCTATATATAGGTATTTTACTGTAGAGTTATGTCCCTTAGTGTTGCTATACATGTTTTGTTATTGGGTTATGCCACCTATGATTGGCTGTATCTGTGTTTTACAGTAAGTAATGTCCCCTCTGGTGGAGATATCTGTGATTTACTGTATTGTAAGTCATGTCCCTTAGGACAGTTATTTATAAATAACTGTAGAATTATCTCCCTTGGGTTGGTTATATCTGTTTTACTTCAGAGTAATATCACCTAAAGTTATGACCCCTGGGGTTGCCTTATCTGTATATTATTATAGAGTTATGTTCCCTTGGGTTTAGTTGTATCTGTTTTACAGCAGAGTCATGCCCATGTAGTTGGTAGTCAAGGTATTTTGCTGTAGTGTGGTGTGTCCTTGGGTTGAATATATCTGTTTAACAGCAGAGTTATTTTACCTAGGGTTGCTAATATCTGTTTTTCAGTTATTAAATCTGTGTTTTGCTGTAAAGTTATGTCCCTTTGGGTTGGCCATATCTTCATTTAACTGTTGTGTTATGTTCCCTTATGTCTTTATTTTACTGTTGAGTAACATCCCCTAAGATGGTTATATCTGTTCAACAGTAAAGTTATGTCACTCAGGAATGGATATAAATGTGTTTTGGTGTAGATTTATCTCCGTTCTGGTCAGCTTAATTTTTGTTTTACTGTAGAGTTATGTCCCCTTGGGTTGAATATATCTTTTTTTCTTACTTTAGAGTGATGTCCCTTAAGGTCTTTATTTTATTGTTGAGTAACATCCCCTAAGATGGTTTTATCTGTTCATCAGTAAAGTTATGTCACTCAGAAATGGATATAAATGTGTTTTGGTGTAGATTTATCTCCCTTCTGGTCAGCTTTATTTTTGTTTTACTGTAGAGTTATGTCCCCTTGGGTTGAATATATCTTTTTTTTTTTTACTTTAGAGTGATGTCCCTTTAGGTCTTTATTTTACTGTTGAGTAACATCCCCAAAGATAGTTATATCTGTTCAACAGTAAAGCTATGTCACTCAGGAATGGATATAAATGTGTTTTGGTGTGGATTTATCTCCCTTCTGGTCAGCTTTATTTTTGTTTTACTGTAGAGTTATATCCCCTTGGGTTGAATATATCTTTTTTTCTACTTTAGAGTGATGTCCCTTTAGGTCTTTATTTTACTGTTGAGTACCATCCCCTAAGATAGTTATATCTGTTCAACAGTAAAGTTATGTCACTCAGGAATGGATATAAATGTGTTTTGGTGTAGATTTATCTCCCTTCTGGTCAGCTTTTTTTTTTTTACTGTATTATGTCCCTTGGTGGGTTTTTTAGTTTTTTTTTAAAGTAGAGTTATGTCCCCTGGGGTTGGGAATATCTTTTTTTATCGTTGTTATTTCCCTATGGTTGTTTTTATTTGTTTATTGGTAGACTTACTACACTTAGGTTTGGTCAATCATATGTGTTTTAGTCTCGAGTTATGTCCCCTGTGGTTGTTATTTTTGTTTTATACTGTTGTTATTTACTACAACCCTATGTTTGACCCAGTGCTACATATTAACAGATGACTAAACTCACATCCTCCTCAACACCTACCTAGCCTGAAAAATGATTTATTTACCAAATAACACCACAGAACATGCTATCAATTTTCATTCCTTACAGTAGGAAATTTTCCCTGCTTCCCTGCACACAAAACATGATATATACCAGTATACTGGGGAATAGATGCTACACAAAGCTCACTGGTTGAAACAGCTGTTTATACAAACCATTCCTCACAATGATTCTTAAAGCCTCGTTTCAACTTCTAATAAACATTGATCTTTTGAAACGTCTATTTGCCAGGGGGAAAAGGCCATTGAATATCTTTCTGTAATCTCTCAATATCTCAGGTACAATTCAATGCACCTATGTGAATACTTCCTGGCTTTGTCTGGACGACAAACCTGGAGGAAAGTCTGCGACATGATGCATCGTTCA